GGTGATGTGCAATCTCATTCTCACAATCAGAATTCATAGAAGCCGGTTCCTAGCTCAAAACCCTTTCAACCGATGTGCCTGATCCAGAACTGCTTGCTGTTTGGCCTCAGGGGAGCGCCAAAGCTGTTTAGTTCCAAGGAGAAACCTGGAGGTTTTTGAAAGTTCGAAAACTGGTTGTTGAACAGGTTGTTGGAACTTCATTGTCACACACCAAAGAAGAGAATAAGGACAAAGTAGTCTCAGTGCGTCTGTCAACTCACCATCAGTGAGAACACATGACGAGAAACAGAAAGCCTTTGAAAGCTTGCCTTCCGCGGCAATATCCACCTTGATGGTGCTGAAGCCAAAGAAGCGCGAGATGAAAGGGATGGAGATCTTCTGTGACCTCTCCTTGCCGGAGGCCAAGCTCCTCACACTATTGAAATCATCAGATCCGAGAAATCCTTCAACGGCCTCGGCACTAGCAATGATGACCTCCAAGGAAGGTCTGACTTGCAAGCATTTCTTGCCTTCTCCAGTCTGATTGTCATCGAATGGTTTCCAAATACCCTGCGAACATTGAAATGTCCATTGTGTAGCTTCTCTTGGCCGGAACAGCAAGAACCCTTTCGTTGAGATGCAGTAGGTGCCAGCAGCAGCTAGGCATAGCGATCCAGACCCAACACAGCCAGACAGCTCCGGGCCAAGAGCCAGCGCGATGAACAGTAAGGAGACTTCGGTGTCCTTGATGGACTTCTCCACCTGCCAAGTTGCAAACATAAGGAATGATTCCTGTTACCACACTGCTGCACGTCTGCACGCTAAGCCAAGACTTCACACCAAGCTACTACGCTCTCCTAATCCTGCGCTGCTTTGGATGTTTTGCTGCATTTGCTGGGTAGACCTACAGTCAGCACATCTCAACGGTGACAAACACGTTCCATCTAAGCTTTGCGCCTCTGTGCAGACTGCAGCCCACTCCAACGGAGCTGCTAGCCCGCTCTTGTCTTGTATCTCGAGCACAAAGTCTTCTTGCTTGATGATGGTGTCGGCTGACTTGGATTTTGGTCGAGGTCGGTAAATTCGGTTGGACCTCAACTTGTCGTTCACAACCTTGGTGAGGCTTTGTGGGGGAATAGTCGATCTCTGCAAAACCTGCTCCTCGGTGTCTTCGTTGGTGACATTTACCTTGCATGCTGCCGTTGCTGCTGGCATCCACTTGATTGGAGCATGTTTGTCCAACTGGACGCCTTTATCTGCATGCTTGGATTTGTCAAGCAGCGGAGACAGGAGCGCTTTCCATGTCGTCTTGTCAGCCAGGCAGGCTTGGACAATGATGCGATGCTCCACCAAGCGCTCAAGCACATCATCAGCACTGAGCCC